GATTATATTCTTTATTAAAAAATCACAGATTGTTTAATTTGCAGGCAGACAACAAATACAATAAACAAAATCTGTCTATATACTGAATTTTGCATACTTTCTCCAACCCCAGAAATATTTGAAATATTTCTCTATCAACCTAGTGTTTAATAATTTTATTAGTAAAATGAGATGCAGTTTAATAAGGTTTTTTTTTTTTTTAAATTAATAAATGACTTATATAGAGTAAAAAACAAAACTTTTCATTTCTGTAGAAAATCACCTATTTAGCATGATCTTGACATCTTTTTATGTTGAGTTCTTCGCTTTGTAAATAAATAATTCACTTTAAAAATTAATGATTCAAAGTAAAGAATGGTAGACAGTGGAAAATACTATCAGTTACAACAATAACATTAAAAAGATATAATAAAAATTTATGTTATTTACAATTTTTTTAAATGATATTTTTTGCTGTAGAACTTATTCCCAGCTGCCTGGGCAACAGCTGACACTGCTTGCATCATTATTCATGATGGTCACATGGTCTGTTTTGATCCAGTCAGCAAAGAACTACAGAGTGCCAAGTTGCGAGATGGAAGTGTATTTCAAAGCACACATATTTCGGTGAGGGAACAATAATTTTTAACTCCTGTGTTAAAATTTTTTTCAGTAATTAATTTTATGCTCCTTAGCTTATACAGTTCAGGCACATAAAACATTTTGTCACTTAAACCAAAGAGTACAGAACTGCAAGAAGTCCAACTCTCGTGGTTTCGTTGGAACGTAATCCTATTTCAAAAAGTACTGCCACGTAGGGCGTGTCCTTAAAAGATGTTCGTATCAAACGTGTTCTGTGCGCATGTTCGAGTTTCAAACTCTATTCAAAATCTAATAAGGTGCCTCATTTCTTGTGGTAGTCCTTTTTTTAATGTTCCATCGCGTACATTCAAAATCAGGGCAGTCGGACCTCTTGCAGTTTTATACTCTTTTGGCGATATGAATTGCTCAAAATGCTCGGGTTCTATCAAAGATACTAATAAAAGGATACACAGAAAGAGGAAAATTAAAGAGACGATCGCTCCCATAGATTGCATAGACTGGAGACATGTATTCATAATAACCTGCAAGCTGTTGAGAAACCTGTTTGGAGATTTAAAAAAAAAATAAATAAAATAAAATATGCATCTGCTAGTGCTTTTATCGTTTCATTTCTAACTAGATGGGCGAAACTGCACCAAGAAATTGTCGTATTCTAAACTACGTATTATTGTCTAGAATATTATTGAACAGAGCACTGTCCATTATTTTCTTTTATGCTCGAGGGTAAATATCGAATAACCTTGACCTTGTTCTTGGACCCTTTAATTTTTAATTCTTCTCTGGCGGAGGTTTATTTTCAAATTATTTAATTGGGAATGCAGACGTAACTGCATACCGACTTTAAACAATTATGGTATGTATACCGGCCTCGATTAATGACCATTGATTGTATTTGTTGTAGTCTTCACAGGAGTGCGAACAAAATCGTTTGTGTTTCTCACCTTACGGTACGAAGCACTCGTAAAGCTCTTAGCGCCCTCATTGCCCGCAGAATACCTAGAAACTGTAGTATATTCACTTCACTACCCAAAATAACGGGAACTAAGAGATCTGCAATGTTACACATTACGATCACAAAATCTAAAAAAAAAAGAAAAATATTATCATAGATATGGGAAATTTTGAGCTGACCAAATGGATATTGATTGACAATCTGCGGTACGATAGCCATCACAACATTAGAAAAAAAAGTTAGGGCTTGCATGTCACCAACCAACCAACATAAACCAAATATCACATACCGACTATGTTCCACGCCTCCCTGAAATAGTCCAAACGCCATACGTATAACTTGGCGACACATTCCAGGAAGTAGATTACAAGGAATATATAATCTATGAACGTCGTGTACCAACCTAAAAAAAATCAGAATGACAATGTATAAATAATATTACCGATATAAATGCTGATAGATTAGTCATATCATCATCATCGTCATCATCATAGATAGGCAACGACAATTATTATTATTATTATCAAATTGTTTTATCAAAACAGTTGTGTCATTCCCAAGAGAACACCAACGTTTTCAAGACTCGACCGGCCAATTTCTATATTTAAACATTTAAAAAAACAAACCCCAAAACAAACCATAAACGCAATTTTTTCTCCCAATGCCAGTTTTTTTTACTAAAGCTCTGTACACACCATCAAATTTGTATGTGAAAATTTTGTGTGATGTGCCCATAAATGGGCATGATGATGTCATATTACACGTCCCCACGGGCATATCACAATTATTTGGTTGTCACATAAGATTATACTGTGTGGACATAGCTTAGACATATTATTTTTGGTTGTTCCAATTTCATTGGGCTCCGCCACCAAGTTTTAATTTCTCTTTTTTAAGCGTCTATCAAGATTATCAAATTTTCTTGGACAAAAAAACTGTTGTATGCCAAATATAGTAATGATGTGCCTAATGTCATAATGTGATGTCATCATGACCATATTAGGCACGTCAAATAAAATTTGATAGTCTGGACACGCTTTATGTAACTTACCAATACGAACGGCTATTATTTCATAAGTCAGAGCACAGAGGATGACCGTATTCAGTAGGATTACGAACATGATGAAGCCATTAAAAAGCATTGATTCAGTAAAATCATACATCAGCTTATGGAATGGCGACGCGTTTTCAAGGCGTTTTTTCTTCTTCAGCTCTTTTTTCAATATCTCCTGTTCTTCCTTATCGTTAATTTTGACAGATTCGTATACATTAGCGCTTGGAATAATCGATGTTCTACGGTGACTCATTTGTCTGGCCAGTTGGCTAGGAGGCTCTATATGCGGAGTTTTGATGTGATGCTTGTAAAGTGACAAGTTGGAGTGCATCCTTGAATTTTGCATAGAAACCGATTGATTCACGGCATTCAACTTCATGGTTTCCATTGTTTGGCAATTAAGTTTGTTTACTGTGAAAAAAAAAATCGAAGACCAATCATTGCTTAAATAAATATTTACAATTATTTTTAATTGAAAATTATTATAAAATTGTTATTATTATCATTATCATTTTATTATATTTTTATTTTATTTCTTATAGCGGATCATTTTGTTTTTGTTTTTTGTTTCAATGAAAGTATGAGATGTGCTCTTAAGTTCATGTCTTTGATTTAATAGACCTTTCCGGAGTGTCAGTCAAACTTAACAACTGACCAATCACAACAACGGTAGGAATACGCGCGTGTCTCACAAACACACGTGTTGTCTTACAAACGCACGTGTTCGCGTATGTTTTAACACTGTCGTCTTGTGGGACCTTAGCAACAATGTCCAAGGGGCGGGGCTTAGCCGAAAAGTCCATTATCAGTGGTGAGAAGAAGAGCTTAGATTGGTACCAGATAAAATAATTTTGTTATCAACATTAATACATTCTGCTAATTTTCATCTTTGTAAGCGCATAAGACAGTGCAAATTATTTCTGTGACAGTCTTTTGAAGTGTGTAAAGCTCCATTTTATCCCATACATAGTCAAAATATTGGGGGGATGATACAATGGACCATCCCCCTTGTCAAATATTGGGGGATATATCCCCACCCTCCCCCCGCCCCGGGATCTACGCCTATGCTTACCCTACACCATGGTTGAAATGTTATGAATATAGCACCTCTAGATGACCGGAAACGGCACTCTCAGACTTTGTATTTTGCGCTCTACAAATTGAAAACCAAACCATAAATTTAATTACAATTTTTCGGCATTATTTTTTATTTCCATTTACTAACATTTTCAGGGGAATCCTCCACTCTAACTAACTACTTCGCAAGTCCTGTTTGCGATCTTTCCTCGCTTCGCTGAGCTCCATGGTTCCATCATCCAGGTCCGCCCAGCTTTTGGAATAATCAATAGAGGAGGGGTCTAGTCTTAATTATGGGGGGGGGGGGTCCTCTAGGCTAGGGCCTAACTGAGCTTGATACTTTGGTTAATTTCCGAACGTTTTACACAAGGCACAAGTTCACCAAATTAAAACACAATTCAAGGCTGTGGGCCTTTGTATGTCGACGAATGTTGAATCGCGGTTGCGTGGCCTGTTTACGGGTGTATAAAACGAAGACCGAAGACCCAAAAACGAAGATCCCTATTTGTTCTCTTTCATTTTGATGATAATACGCCAGGCTGTCACAAGATCAAAATTACGAAATTTTTTGGGCGTCTCTTTGTGAATTTTTCAAGGGTCTTCGTTTTATAGACACTGTTGGGGTATCTATAAAACGAAGACCCTTAAGTATTTCTTGATATTCCTCATTTTATTTCGATAAAATACTGAAATAGGTACTTGGCAACTGTTTTATGATGATTTTGAATTACTTTCAATAAGATAATTGAGAAATAATTGGAGGTCTCGTTTGTCGGGTCTTCGGACTTCTTTTTGTAGACACCCATAAAGCCCTTGAAAATTTCGCAAACACGCGACGCCCAAAAAATCGTAATTTTGATTTTGTAACAGCCTGGTGTATTATCATCAAAATAAAAGAGAAAAAATATGGGTCTTAGGTCTTTCTTTTGTCTTCGTTTTATAGACACCCGCCTGTTTACCCGGGCCTATAGAAAATGTATGTTACCTCCAAACTTTTATGGCGTTGCCGAACAAGACTCGCTTAAATCATAGTCTATGAATTTTGTTTGTGGCCCGTCTAGAGATAATTTATACCTGAGACAACTATACGTATAATATAGTTTTGTTCAGTTTATACATTCTAGTGCAATGTTCTATCGTCAACAATGTGGTACCAAGAGTTATTTTGCGTTCATGTTTATACTTAATAGGTCTACTGTATTAGTAGCAATATCATCGTCTAATTCCCCCTCGTTGCTTCTACAAAATTTTTGTTGAACATTTTGTTTGCATAATTTTCTTTCTGGATTAACTTTTCTTCCAATTTTACTTTATTTAAGTTATAGGCCTAGGCGCACATTTATTTGTTTTTATACAGGCTAATTAATTTCTTCCAAATTAAACGTTGAAAAGATTTGTATGCAATTTCTCAGCTGCAGCAACCACAGACCTAAGTAAATAATTGATATGGTGTGAGCTGTTTTTATTTCTGTATCCAGTTTGCAAATATGAGGTTTTGGGACGAGAAGATAATAATCAGAATAAGGAAGAGAATTTCCATGAATACATTCGAAAAAAGGGGAAAAAACCCAAAACATTAAAATATAAATATTCATATATAGCAGGATATGTCTAGCATTATTGCATGGCCAAGAGCCTATATGATAGCACTAAGACAAAGTGGCACGAGGTCTTCACATGGCAAGCATAATCAAGAAAAAAAACTTAATCCTATATTACAATATAAGTACAGGGAACGGTTAAATTAGGCCGACTTCAGGCTCAAAATGTTCTTATTTTGTTCTTATTTTACACACGTTTTAAATATTTAATTACGAAATTATTACGGTATTGTAAATACTATACTGTGTTATATCAGTTTTATTTATATAAAACTAAATATAAATAAATGAGAATTTTGAAAAAAAAAAGAATTAAGTCTAGAGAATATACATTCCGGTACATTTTTAATGCGTCGTAATTAATGAATATATAATAGGCCTAATAATAATAATAATAATAATAATAATAATAATAATAATAATAATAATAATAATAATAATAATAATAATAATAATAATAATAACTTTGAATTTGGTAACGAAGAATTCGTCGAGAAAATGATAATCTCTTATGAGAAATAGTCTGTAGGCCTATTTCTAACTTTTTTTTTATTCCTTTGCGTAAAACTAAAATGTATGCCAATATTTTCCATGGTTAGAGTAATGCATATTATGCATTTTTTCTATTAAAAAAAATCTTCTTTTTAGTGAAATTTTGTCGGGAATGGGGCTTCAATAGTAAGTCGAAATAGAAGACCTATCCGTGTCAAAGGCTGTCATATGAACCTAACTGTTTAATGACGGCTATATAAAATTCAATTGACTAATTATAATTTGACAGACTAAACAAATTTTAAATTTTTTTTATTCATACAGGACGTAGATATATCCTTTGCGAACATTTTAAGGAAAATTTATGCTGACAGTACACGACCCTCCGTTAAGCATTTATGATTTTTAAGTAACATGACCTCCGAAAATATGGTCGAAACGCTATGTTATTTCTATTGGTTACGCTTCGCTGCCCAGAACTGTTTGTCATCGATCGGAGATGTCTACCGCCGCAGCGTGAAAAAAGTGCCTAGGCCTGCCGTTGTTGTTTTTTGCAACGCGGTAAGAAGAGGTCACTGAAAACAACACTGAATTATGGATAAATTTGCTAAAACAGTTATTCATCTGAATACAAGTTTAAGATCAGCATATATAGCTTTATATAAAGTTGAACAGGAACGACTGACGTATTGTAAGTCGACAATATTAGGGTGTGGAGACGAATATGAGGTTGGAAGTGTGTTTGAAGGGATACCAAAAAGCGTCTGCGGTGATGTGGACTTCATGAAGATTTTGCCAACATTTCCGGTTGTGGTATGGCAATCGCAAACCAATGGGAGAACACAGAGGCCTGGGCGTGTAATAGCTGAGCTGAATCCAAGCGAACCAGCGTATCTAAGACTCATGGCAATTGATAGATCGTGTCTACATAAGGATTTTATAAATCACATTGATGACAATGGGTATTTAATGACCAACACTTTCATGGATAGTTTTATGAGCACGGATGATGATAATATTATGAACCCAAATTTGATTGTTTCTAGGAAGAGTGGTCCCTCATTAGAAGGTTCATTTTGTGAGAAGTATTATGATTTTATACAAAAGGTAGACACAGTCTTTTGCTTGAAGTGTGAATCATGGCCACCTAACTCTACTGACTATATTACTAGAAAAAGGCCGAGTAACTGGCCATCACCGGAGCTGATAAAAGATGTGTCTAATCTAGATTGTTTTGTAGTTCCCATTGGACAACTGAATAGTGCGTCAAAAAATACTGAATGGAGATTATCGTTTTCCTTAGCTGAGAAAGAGCTCATACATAATATGAATGAATGTTTCGCTAACTGCATGTATGCTCTGAAAGCAGTTAAACAAAAGCACATTGTAGGCATATGTGATTCTGACAAACCAACGCCATTCTGCTCGTATTTCATAAAGACCGCTTGCTTGTGGATGTGTGAAACTTTACATACAGATGACAACATCATGAATTTAATTAGAAGTGTACTTGATTGGCTTATTGAAAGTTACAATAGCCGAAAACTGCCTCATTATTTTATATCTGGGCAAAATTTGATTGGTCATCTATCGAAAGCACAATGTGAAAAAGTAAAAGAAAAATTGATGGAAGTTAAGACCGATATCTGGGTAATGGTGATTTCAAGTGTTGATTTTGTTAACTTTGCTAAATTTGATTCTACGCCTAATAAAAAACCAATAAACGAACAAACAAACATAACGCCTATGGATTATCTTTGCGATGAGCTCAAAATTCAGAGATATGACAACTTAGAAGATATGTCTAATCACCCATGGGCTAGAGTAGATCTTGAACAGTATGTTTCTGAGATATGTCCAGGTGGCAATATATATAGATGCGCAATATACAATCCGTGTTGGAAATGGACAGAAAATGTTTTATCACTCATATTTTTTAATATTAATTATTTCAGTATAAATGTAAAAACTCATCAATGCTCTAAAATTCTTGAATTTCCAGGAGAAATCGTTCTCCCTTTTGTAAAAAATATTGAAAAGATTGCGCCACAGGAATGTGGAGAAATGCTCAAGACGCAATTATATAGAATGTTAGGTAATATGTATGTGTATTTATTGATTTACTTACAAAAATATTGCCGCCAGTGTCAAAATCTGACTCCCTATCGGCAAAAGCCGTTGGATTACTATAAATTGGGTTATGAAATGGTTTACATTGATGGAAGGTCTGATGGAGGTATAGGTGGTCTAGCTCTTATAGTACAATACCATTATTTATTTGGTAATTATGAAGAATTGAAAACGCTACTTGCAGAGTGTAAACCTGAACTTATTAAACTTAAAGAAAATAATGATGATTTTATGAATAATCTTCATAGTATAAATATAAACCAAGACAAACATTCATACTTGGTACAGAGTGCCTGGGAAATTGATAAAGGACTACATCAACTTTTGAAAAGTAAGCCTACTTTTGGACTTGCAGTAATGGATCCTGTCGTATTTGTCTTTTATGTAATGGCCAAAGTATACATTAGAGAGGGAGAACTAGAGAATGCATCTGCGATTGTGAAAGAAATTGAGGTATGCTTGAAGAGAATTCGAAACAAAGAAGAGGTATCTGAGTTCACCAAGTCAATGATTAAATTGATAGAAAATGAAATACTAGAAAAAAAGTAAAAAAGAATGTTATACTGTTCGAATGATTTAACACCTTTAGAAAGACCCACCCTTGTTTATATCCTTTATGAATGTCATGTCAAGCAAATCAATTATTTGAAGTGAATATTGCATTTTTTATTTTACAATTTATTTATTTTTATACGATTCTAACAGGGTAACACAGCAATAATAATAATGATGATAATATGGCCTACCAATTGTTATTTACCACTAATAGTTATACAGTAGTAATAAAATACTTACTACTATTATTAATTATTGTTATTTACCATAAATGCTTGAATAAGCGCTGCTGTAGAATAAGCACCGCACCAAACCTGATTTTTTTCGCTAAGAGCTTCTCTTGAATAAGCACCACGGCGCTTAAGCAAGTGTATACAGTATATTACCTGTGTGTAATGAAACACTTTGAAAAACAGTATTTTAAATGCAATGTATACAGAGTTAAAATGAATGAAGTCAAGCATTTCCTTATAAACTCATTTTTACGATGAATAAAGTAGGACCCATGATAGACCTACGGGAATATGTGATATAGGGAGAGTAACATGGGAACTGGCATGGAAAGCACCATGCCGATAAGCAATTAGTAGAGTAGTAGAGTAGATTGACTTATAATATTTTTTATAAGCTCTCGATTAAGCGCTCCAATAAAGCTTCCAAAAACATTAACAATACTTTCTTTCCCTTTGGACCGCAAAATATAAGTACTGTACAAACACATTGTGCTGTGAGTATACTCAACCGAGTTTATGCACAGTAATGGATGATGATGGTGATTGTAATATGCGCACTAATATTGTTAATTACCACTGAATTGTTTCAATATACTTATACTGCTACTGTAGCTAGCATTTACTGTAGATACTCGTACACTAATGAAGGGAGAAGGTGCTACCAAAAATTTTAATTAATTTTTTTAATTGCAGATACAGTATTTAGATTAGATTTTCTCAATTTGAAGCACCTTACTGTATGTCCAAAAGTGATGAGCCTGTATTCTAACAATAATTGTATGTGGAATAGGCTAAATATTAAGAGATGATGCCTTTATGTCAAAGTAGAGTAAATTAAAACTTTTTTACTATTAGGGTTTTTTTCGAAATCCAGTTAGCCGAAACTTGGTTTGCCGAAACCTGGTTTGCCGAGTTTATACCCAGTCTGCCGAATCCAATTCACTGAAAAGGGTGACAGACGATCGGGCCCACCCCATTTCTAGACAATCGGTCCCAACTAGTGTGGACTATCAGGCACACGCCAAGCCAATAGGGTCCACCGAGTGTAGACTTTTGGGCCCATTTTCAAAAATGGAGGATAGACAATATCTTCAAGACAATCGGACCAGGGAGATGCAAAAAATTATTTTTTAAATCTCCCTGATCAGACCCATTTTCTCAAACACGATCAGTAAAATGTATGGAATACCAGCAGCACTATATCTATTGATTGTATTAGGTATAATGCAGGCCTAGCTTTCATATTGTGTTTCTTAACCTTTTATATGTAATTGTATATTGAATTTCTTACCTTTTATTGCAGTGTATAAATGAAGAATTTCTGATGTATTTATTTTAAATATATTAGACCAATAAAGATAAAGATATTGTACTATATTGAAAATTTGACAATATTTTTTGTTTTATCATAATCAAATCACTAATAAATTCCAATGTGTTCACATCATACTTGTATTTTCAGATAAAATTTAAAGTTGATGAATATTTTTCTGTGAATATTACATGACATTAACTTATGTATTCTTTTATTTTATTTATCAGGACACAAACGTATTTAAACATTGGATCTGTCAATATTAATATATCTGTCAATTTCTACTATAAACGATTTATTTCTTTTGTATATTATTAAGACCTGTATACTAATATTTAATATTATCTGCATACATGTTCCTTTTTTTCCTAATTTCAAAATATTATAGTGTGTCAATTGAAATTTATATAACCATTATTAAACAATTTAAGTAGTGATACCAGTTTACTCCGATGTTATGTACGCAATCTCGCCATGATGTTATGATAGATTTTAGTAAATCACATTTATGTTTGTGAAATAAAAATGCTAATTGATGTTTTGTGTGCGTCCTTTCTTCCTAGCTGTGTAGTTGCAATACTTCCACAAAAGTGAAATTCAAAAAGAGGAGAAAAGGAAAATCCTCTTAATTGATTTTAAAAGTACTGTTCATGCAAAGAAAGAGACTAAATTAGAGTGACTGTTTTAAGTTTATCTTATTTGTTTTTCATGGTTTGAATATGTCACAAGCTAATCAGTAGGTAATCAATTATTATTTTTTTTAATGTTATTTTGCATGAAATATATAAGCGGGAATGATTATGCTTACCAGGATAAATTAAAAAAACTTTTTATGATGAGTATTTCATTTAATGAAGAGTATGTCATAAAATAATGTTGCCAAAACGTTGCAAGAACTTTCAAACATTAAGTAGTTTGTGAAGTTGCGTCTTAAGTATCTTACATTTTTACGGTTCTACAACATAACGTTTTCAACACCCAACTGTAACGTTACCGTATTTTAACGTTCTTATTATAAACGTAATGTTGTTCTGGGTTTTTATTAGGCCTATTATTATTATTATTATTATTATTTATTATCATCATTATCATCATCATAATCATCATCATTATCACCATCATTATCATTATTAATTAGGCCTAATAATATTATTATTAATCATTTTTATTTTTATTATCATTATTATAATACAGTAATAATAATAATTATTATTAAAAAGCATTTATATAGTGCCTTTACAAAAAAAAATCAAAGCATTTTTACAAAGGTTGGCCTACCATAAATTATCATCATCATTATCATCATAATCATCATCATCACCACCATCATTATCATTATTAATTAGGCCTAATATTATTATTAGTCATTGTTATTTTTATTATTATTATTAAAAAGCATTTATATAGTGCCTTTACAAAAAAAAAATCAGCATTTTTACAAAGGTAGGCCTACCATAAAAAATCAATCAATAAAAATGGGAAATACAAATTACTACATAATAAAAATTTCCTACAAAGTTACGTTATAAAAATAGCAACAATATTAATAGTAAAACAAATATGGAAGTAAGTACTGTATGAGAAAGATTTTAAAAATTATAAATCAGCAGCCAAGTACAGAGTACTTAAATAATTATTGTAGGCCTATAGGTTTGCATGACTACTTACATTCTGTCTTCAGGAAAAGTAAACTATTTCTTGAAGTATGATGAATTAGGTAACTTTGTTTTTATAAAATTATACTATAGGCTAGGCCCATAGTATTTTCATACCTTGGTTGTGTGTGTGTGTGTACATTAGAAAGTTCTGTCGTTATAAATTCATAACGCGTTCGATAACGCGCTGTCGTTTGCGTCATCGATGGTTGGGATCATCCTATGATCGTAAAGAAGAATACGCATGCTCAAAATCAATCCTCATAATGAATAAAATGGCCGATTGTTGTAGAGAATGTAAATAATATATTGACGTGTAAAAAACTGCTTACATTTTAAATACGGATTGACTGACGTGGTTTTATCTAGAAAGTTGTTAAGATAGTTTAATATGGCAGATCAAGAGCAGAAAGGAAAAGAGCTTATGGCTGAGGCTGAGAAGAAAGTGAGGTCTTCGCAGACTTTCTTCGGCAGCCTGTTTGGAGGGTAGGTGTTACCTAACAAACTCAATAGTCTAGGGCCTAGGCCGAGTCTACTCTCTCTACCCTCAGGATAGGTCTAGCCTAGGTAGGCCTAGGGTCTTGCCTAAGCCTAGGCCTAGGCTAAAAAGGCCCAGTCCTGGCCCTAGTCTAGCACACTAATTAATTAAATGGAAAGAGCACATCGATATGAGTGATCTAAGAATATTTATTAGATGACAAAATGAGTAATAAGAAAGTATAATGCCTAGGCCTAGGCCTACTCCAACCAAGTATTGAAATGCACGCCATCGTGTTGGGATTCAATATTTGGACATTAATTATGTCATCATCAGGAATTCCTGATGATGACATAATTTATGTCGAAATATTGAATCCCAATACGATGGCGTGCATTTCAATACTTGGAGTATGTATTATACTTTCTTATCTGAGATTAATCAGTGGACCTTTTGGAAAATGAGTAATCCTTCCTAAACACAAGTTAATTTTTCCCACACTTTTTTTTTTTGTTTTTCTTCTGAGACTGTCCCATCTAATGATCTTGCCCTCGTCATCCTCACACTAATTTCAGTCCTCGATGTCAAGTCTAACCATGGAGGTATTATTGAGAAGGAGATCACTCAGCAACAGATCCATTTGACGCGACATACTACCAGTATGTTCCCCGCCTTTGGATCAAGCATAGGGGTATTATCATATTATTACTTTAAAGATGTTTTTTGTTGGTAAACAAGTTGGCAACGACATGCGTTTATACGCTTCAAAACAGCATATGTGCGATACCACACCGTTTGATTTTAACTTATTAAATATCTTTAAAACTTTTAGTATGTGATTATGTGTATATTTCAGGAACAGATTCCGAATTTAAATATTTCTGTTACATTATTCTGTTTTGTTCAATTTTATAATTTTTTATAAAGATTATTGGTTCGCCTAAAGCTAAGGCAGCGTATTAAATCTGAAAATTACTCTGGCATTAGATTGAATTTTCGAATAGTTAACACTTGTTAACCCTAAAATGACTTAGTTTATTATAATGCTCAATCATTTCTTAATATCTGTTAAAATTAGAATTATCGAGTTTTATCCAATTTATGGACATTTAAGTTGAAATATACCATATTTTTAAAAGATGCAAAATTTTTTATTAAATTTGAAACTCTTTTTTTGTAGTAAATATTAATATGTTTGGTAGTTCTTGAAAGATAAATGTATTATTAGCTTCAAGGTGGAAACAATTGCACAGCCATAGTGATTGACTTTAAGTAGTGCGCATTGAGAAAAAAGAAGGTACTCTCCATTTCACCATTTTCAATTTTTTGGTAAACTAAGCCTTCTGAGCATTTGGTGGCAGGGAACACATTAGACTTCAAAGGCATAGGCAAACGTTCTTCACGTGCTGCGGCAGCTGTGTCCTTGGCTCATTCGCACAGCGCTGCTCGCTATACATACAACAATACAACACATACTATAGATCTGTGTGGACGTACAGAATGGAGCTTTTCCAGTACATAAAGGTCTCTCTAATTAAAGATTTCTCCAATAATAGACTACTTCTACTGTAATTAAAAACTGCCTTTCTGCAGCCAAAATAAATGCCTATCTAGTATCTTTTTGATAATAATATTCTGTTCTAATTAAAGACCAACCATGCTAAAGACCATGAAAACCCCTGTCCCAAAAGTGGTCTTTAATTGATCTGTATAATATTTTTTTATTTATTAGGTCAACAACAAAACTGGAAGAAGCAAGTGAAATCTACCAAAGGGCAGCAAATTCCTTCAAGATGGCAAAAGCATGGTCAGGTACAGATAATTTAAAATCTTATTATTAGATAAAAACAATTGAAAATATAATGAATTATTAAAAATTTTTTTTTTCAGTGTATCCCACTTCATTCCATTTCACTGTGTTCTATTTCTATAGTCAAAGGTAGACTATTGTAATCGTTTTATTATTTTTAGTATATTATAACACTACATGACACTTTCAATTTTACATGCCATTCTGTGCTTTCCTTTTTCAGTGGAGTTAAATTTAAATATATTGATCATTAATATGCTTGCCTTCCAATCCCTAGGTTGCAGGATTTTTTTTTTTCACAACCAAATCAATTCCACTCCCTAAGCCTCATAATTGAGATTTAGTTTAGTGTAAAGCATCGTGTGTGTATGTTTGTCTTGTGGAAGGGATTGTTACCTACAAGTGTAGGAGAGTGATATCTGCTATTGGCAGTGGTGTTTGTGTGTGTGCCTAAATTAATATAAAAAACAAGCACTTGAATGGAGAATGGATCTTTCCATGTCTACTTATTTTATGTTTCCATTTATTTTATTTACCTGTATCTGTATTTATAACTTACTATCTTATTTAAATTATTAATAAAATTATCCATTGTAATTTATTATGATTATTTATGTAAAATGTTTTCCCAACAGGCGATTTGAAATTTAATGTTAATACTGATGTGTTTTATTAGTTATTATTATTATAATTATGTAAAGTTGTTTATACTGTAGGCTCTCTCCAGGCTCTTTAAGCCTTCCCCCCTCCCCCAAGGTATTTTATGGCTCCTTCCATTTTTGTATTTATACTAAATTATTTTTGTATTGAATTTGAATGTATTAGGGGCATATACAAAGTAAAAAAGGGGCCTGGTCTTCTGAAGTTAACAAGACAGCGGCCAGTGGGAGTGGTTGAGAACCAGTTAAAATGTTGATTTACTGTAGTAGGATATAGCTCTAAACTCCACTGAGGTTATTCCGATGGCGTTGAGGTTGTTAGCACAAAGGTCATAAAGAATGGCTCTGCATAGTATAATAGACGGATTCCCTGGCTTTAGAGTTCTACCATAGAGTTATTAATGTATTAAGCAACTAGAGTACTTAGATGACAAAGCAATGCAGAGTTGGCTATGTGTACCATCCAAGATGGCCACTGTAGAAAAGCGGCACCTTCAGACTTAGTATATATTATAAACATATAAAAACCCTTTGACCAACTATTAAACATTGATCATTATTACTACTGTATCGTAGCCAAAAAGAGGCCAAGTGGTGTATCTGATTTATAAATAAAGTACTGAGGAATAAAAATAAAAATTGTGTACATTACACCGCAATGCTTGAGTTTCAACATAGCTATATTCAAAACTTCAATATGTTAAGTTAAGGGCGCCATTGAAACAATGGTTAGCGTATTATGATGGGCTAAATCTACGGCAGCCATCTTGTATGGTGGTTTAAACACACATACAGCTCTGCGTATTTCGAACATCCAGTACATTGGAGTTGGTGCTGTAGTATTCTTATTATGTCTCTGAGTTCTACTTACATGGCATTGTATTATTCAACACACATTGAATTGTACCACCTTTGTGTCATCATCAATCATCAAAATATTATATGAATTCACTGAAAACATAAAAAAAAAAAATCAGTATTATTCATTTTCATAGCATTTTGGGTTTTTAATGTCTTTCAATGTATCCTGTGTTTTGTATGTTTGGTATTCAAACTGACAAACTATCTACAGTACAGTATGTAAATTATGTATTTTTTGTTATTTTTTTTTCAATAACTAAGTCTTATTGTAGCTCTGAAATCTTGTATCTATACTTATGTCCTATCTAGAGAGAACCCAAACCATGTCAGCACAACTTAATCAGCCATTACTGTTGCATGATGATCATTAGGGTATTTCCCCTTCCAGGAAGTACTGACAATTGTGGCCGACCCCAAATTAAATTTAAATTTATTCCTGTCTTTCCATGTATCCTGTATTTGTATGTTGTGTATTCAAACTATTACAAGCAACCGATTCTTTTTGATGCCTATGTAAATTTAATATTTAATATGTAATTTGTGAATAAATGTTACTATATACATTTATCCAAACGGTAACAAAAAACGCCGTTGTTAGCTGACTTCAACTGTTTTAAAGTACATCAAATGAACAGTGCCCTCTGTTGTCAGGTCTCTAGTCCTGATGTAAATCATTACAGCTATATAAAATGACTTTTATTAATTTGTTTATGATTTAAGCTGCCGGAAATGCATTTTATGAAACTGCAAAAATTCACCTCCGGTTACAGAACAAGCACGACGCAGCAACTGCTTGTGTAGATGCGGGAAACTGCTTCAAAAAAACCGACAGTGAAGGTATGTGAGGTTTTTTTTTTTACTCTAACAGAAATTTAATTATATATTTTCTTCTGTTTATTAATGTTCAGCTGCTGGGAAAGCATTTAAAAAATCAGCCTCACTTGAGAAGAAGATGAAAAACAAACCCAGAGCAGGCTACAGGCTAGCAGAAGCCGGAAGTTGCTACAAGAAGGTTGACGGTGAAGGTACCCAGAAACAAATTCCTGAGGTGGATTTGCAGAATGCTTACGCCTTGTCTGAATGCCTACCTTTTCCAATTAACCACCTAGATCTGGCCTACTGTAGACTAACATTGCTTGTTCTCCTATTTTTAATCTCTGTATTAACACTAAATTTGTGGTTGATACAGGATAACAAAAACTATTTGATTCTGAATGTAATTTAAAGACCAAAGAAGGGTCTTATCTGCAATCCACACTCCTTTCAGAGAGGGAAATTGTTCTGCACCTTGCCTCAACTAAAATGCTAAATATTGCACCTATTTTAGTGTCTGTCCCACACTGTCTCATTTATATGATAACCATGTAGTATGTCATCTTGTAGTTTCAACTGTGCATGTTTGTAGAATGTAGAACCCAATGATATCACTAAAAAGTCAACTATACATGCGAGAACGTCGCATGAATTCTGTGGTGCAATTTGACCAAATCTGTGTTTTTTGCAGAGGACGTATGCCGGTCACGAATGAGTAAATCCCTCCTATCAACATGAAAACCAAAAGCTCCCTTTTCTGGTGATCAGATGATATGCAAATCAAAAAATGATAGTAGCACTATATCATAGCAAAATATTAAAAGCTTAACTTAAATTATCACATGTGGGACCAATATTTGCAGCTTTTTCTTTTCAGTAAATTGTTGGTATGGTGATTGCATGTAATGTGTGTGTTGTGTTAATGTGAGTCTGTTCGGCAGTGATATGGATTATGAGTCCGGGACATTCACATTTTCACAGAACCAGTAGCACTGCATACTGAGTCAAGGGACAAAATATGCTATATTCTTTTGAAATTAATCATTCTTTTATGAAGGCCTGCCTAAGAAAATAAGGGAGTATTTATTTTTTTTAAATTAATAAATTAACAAAACTCCAAAGAAAATGGTGCAAGCCATTATGATTCTATATATTTCATTATATATTTTTTCTATAGAGGGGTTGAATTAGAGAAAGTCTCACTTGGCTGGGGGCCAGGGGGCCGCCTAGGGCCCCGGTGGGGGTCCAGGGGGCTTCGCCCCCTGGAAGCCACAGATATTTGATGAATTATGGCGAATTTTTATTACTTATTTGGTAGGCATCGAGTTGCTATAATATGACTTCATGTAGGCTATGCTTTCTAATGTTGACACCAGCTTCCAAAACCAAAACATTTTGAATAAAGCAAGAAACAAAGAGTATGCAATGTAACCATCTAATTTATCGTTTAAATTAGCATACTGTATATGCAAATTAGTCATTTTATGGTTGTAATATATTCACATGTAGATGCTACTGTAGAGAGAACATTTATGAATATTTATAGAAACTTGGTTTCTTCTCTGCCTTCTTCATTTTTTGTAAGTTTCTGCGGAGGAAATAACTATAAAATATAATTAATTTAATCACAAACCCGAAGAGTTGATATAAATTCTTTTAAATACAATTGTTTACAGAGGCCGTGAGATGTTTGCAGCAAGCCATAGAAATATTCACAGACATGGGTCGGTTTACAATCGCAGCAAAACATCTGATAACAGTGGCAGAAATTTACGAAGGAAACTCAATTGATTTAGAAAAGGCTATCGAATACTATGAGAGGGCCGCAGACTACTATAAAGGAGAGGATTCTACTAGGTAGGCCCATGTCTAGAAATTTCCTAAATTAAGATGGTTAAATTGCATTCCTTACCTTTCAAAGACTGGGTGGTCCTGAATATCTCATGGGGGTGGGGGGGGGGACTCTTTTTCCAAGACTCATATTTAGGCATTATTGTAGTCATCAGTTTAAAAGAATTGTAATAACTTAACTAAATCAATTAGAATTTGGTATGAATTAAAATTATACCAGTAGTGGATCCAGGAATTTGAAATAAATTGAGCCCAGAAAGTTTCAGATGGATGGTCAAGACCATACAAAATTTTATGCCTATGGCACTTCTACAGTAGGTGGCCGGAAATGACACTCTAACATTAAAAATCTGAATTTAATTTTCTTTTACTGGAATCACCCTGTGTATACATTGCTTAAAAAAAGGTTGAAATTTTTTCCCATTCTCCCTACAGCTCGGCTAATAAATGTCTACTAAAGGTTGCGCAGTACAGTGCTCAGTTAGAAAACTATGGAAAGTCGGTCGAGATCTACGAAGAAGTCGCAGAAGTGGCTGTGAAGACGCCATTATTGAAGTACAGCGCTAAGGATTACTTCTTCAAGGCTGCCCTCTGTCAGATGTGTATAGATACCCTGAACGCAAAGCTTGCTGTACAAAAGTATGAGGAGATGTTCGCAGCATTTGCAGATAGTCGTGAATACAAACTACTTAACGTGAGTACCTTACTACAAATTATTGATGTAGACTTCTCAAATTTTACTGCTACAACTACTACAAATATTACTACCTTTTAGGAGTTTAGCCAGAAAAACAAAATAGGCTGTCCAAAATGGAAGCCAGTGGCACTAAGCCGATGGGTGGGCCACGCCCATCTTTGGGAATCCCCACCGAATATTGGTACGAAAACAACGTATACATTCAATCAATAAATGTTGTTTTTATCAAACTTAAGTATGCCACCAAGCAGAAATATTACCTAGTTGCACGCATTTAAACAAAACTCTCCAATATGTCTTTATGTTATTACCCACTTCCTACCGCTCCCGTGTGTTTTGCAGCTTTAGTTTAATGTAATGTAACATTCGATAGATTTTAAGAATATAGAGAATCTGTTAAAGGTAGACCAGGGCCAATTAGGCTAGGCCAAACTGATTAGGCCAAGCCGCCCAAGCCGTCATGGTAAAAGTGGCCGTCCTAAATAATTGTAGGCTGTCTAAAAGACAGCCGGACGGCTTGCTGGCTAAGCCTATGCTACTGCTAAACTACTCTACTACTATTGCTGCTACTACTACTAATGCCACTGCCTCCGCCACTACTACTAGGGAGCTTTCCATTGCACAAGACTGTAGAACGTAATGGCGTCACTAAAAGTCATCTGTGAATGCGAGAACATTAAGTTCTCCTCGCGTGGATTCTAGGACGCAATTGGGCCAAATCTACGTATGAAGAGAACGGATGTTCACGCAAGAGTGATTCCGTTCTGGTGTCGCGTCGTCGAACAAATCAAAAGCTCTTTATTTCCATTAGAGTACATTATTTATAGTTATTAGTATTATATTTGTTAGCATTATACATTTTAATTCTAGAATACATAACATTCATATTGTTTACTAATACAATTTACTGATTTATATCAAGATAATATTTCAAAAGTTAATTTTTTTAAATCTCAAATTTCATTTTGATTCAGAAATTGTTAGCAGCCCTAGAGGAGGAAGATGTTGATGGATATACTGACGCTGTAAGTAATATGAAATCAATCAAATCAATTGAACCAATCAGAATTAATTTACCTGAAGCATCATCAGATTGCATGCTAAAACCCTCATTAATTCATCACATACATTCTGTACTGCTCAGTGAGATCTGAGTTGCTTTACTTATATTGAATTCTGAATTAATATTTTAAACATAGAATTTATATTGCAATATTGCAGGGATCGCATATCTTCTGGATGCTCTGAGAATCTGAAAGAAATTTGCTCAGTTTACTCCAGAAAGGGTTGAATATTCTCAGTAAAACCAATGAATTGCAATTGTTGCCTTCTTTTCAGATTGTTCTGTCATTTCAATTATAACAGTAATTAACATTGCGATTATTTTCTTAAAACGTACTCTAATTACAGCCTTAATGCCTTTGAAGCTAGTAAATGCTCACAATACAATTTTTTTTTACCAGAAAGATCATTGTTAACTTTATAACATAAACCTAGGATCAGTAGCACATTGGCATTCCGATTTCGAGTTTATCCGGAAATTGGGGGGAGGAGGAGGTGCTCTCATTTTGGAAGATTACTGGTAAGGGTGAATCAATCATAGACATGAATTGAAGAGAAGGGAAAACTGAGATACACAAAACCACTACCAACCTCCCTTACAAGCTTTGACACCTTAAACACTGTCCGCATTAACAAATTTTATGAGACAAAATAAAGGTGATATTTACACCCAAATATGGCTTCATCATGCCCATATATGGACACATCACACAAGATTGTCACTTAAGATTTGATAGTGTAGACAGACCTTTATGGGACAAAATAGAATAATGGTGCATCTAAACATTGTCACTTTTTGTTGTTTTTTTAACAGGTGAAGGAATATGATTCCATTTCCCGACTTGACCAATGGCTTACCACTATATTACTGCGGATCAAGAAATCCATTGGTGGCATGGATTTGACATAATTGTGTGCTAGGGTGCAGGTCAAAGGTCGTTTTAGCAATTGTTAAAGGAATGCTGGTAGATGCGCTGTGATTTCATATATAATTACTCTAACTGTACACAATATGAGAAATTGTGTAAAAAAAATATCTATATTATGCTGCTCTTAAATTCCAATACTGTATAAACAAAAAATACTGTAACTATGTTTTATTACTGTACATGTTACTCTACTGTGTTACACATTCGATTCAAATTTTATTTGGCATCAACAGACAGAGACTGCCATCCACAGATTCGCAAAAACTCTTCACAGTCAAAAGGCGCGATATCAAATGTGTAACCATTACGTTAGTACATTTACAGTTTGCACTAAAACAGTAGGCATGGTATCTTAAAGATTGGTCAGAATGTAAAGAGCTAAGGTTTGTGTTGTATTTTACACATTTTAGGTATTTAATGATAATGGAAGAATGAAGTATTGTATGTGGGAATATATTTCAAAAAGATATACAGGAATATGGTATTGAAGAAGAAAATGTTGTCTTTTTTCTTATTAAATTAATATTAGCTGTATATATATGACAATTAATAGATTGTCTTATCAGCTAACATTCCTAATAGCTCTTTTCTTGTAAGAATTTTGAAAAATATTATAATATAATGATAGATTTGATGTATAGCGTCAATGAAAAAACATATAATTATCTGGTCGGCAGTGTAGCGTAAACAGATACTATCCCATAATGCTTAGCGCTAAAAACATGACAAGACTGAAAATTTAGTTTTAGATTAAATATTTTTAATTATCAACTCAAACAATTATAACATTTGTTTAACAGTTTCTTAAAACTGTTGTTACTACAAAAAATGAAAATTTACGTAATTTAATTTTCAACTCTCATCCAACAGTTCTTTGTCAAGAGTGGATAGTGAAGCTTATAAATATAATATTCTTTTAATCAGAGTTACCACCGTTACACTATGAAATAAACAGAAGTAGTCAACACAATTAAGTCTCGGGTGAATATATGGATAAGATTTGATATAAATAATAAAATATTAAGTAATAGCTATCTTATTCATTTCTATAACCAGAATGTTGATTATTTGAATTATTGGTCAATTGACGGATTGATTGATTGACTGACAGATCACACTTAATAATATATTTGATTTTTTTTTTGTACGTGTGCATGTCTGTAACTCATCACCTTTCCACAAATTTTAACTGTTGTCATTGACACTGCTATGCAATATATAATATTTCCAAATTCTGATAGATTCATACACTTTCTCTGTTTTATTATATTGATAAGTAATTATTATTCCACCTTCATACCCTTCACACTTCCTCCCACCCCTCTCTCTTCCCCCATATTTATGCGCACACAGTTTCACATGTTTTGTTCATATATTAACAATAATTTAGCTCAAAGAATCAGTTTATATAATACAGTATATTAAATGTAATATTTATCACCGATGTGAAATGCATAGGTGTACTGTGGTCATCTCTATACATACATCTCTGCATTTTCAATGTGATTTACTGTTATTCTTTATTATAGTTAGATTTATTATAAACTTGTATATTCTGTGTATTATGATATAAGTCTACCAGTTAAACAATGCAAATGCATTAATTAAATGATGTAATAATTTAGTGAATAACTTTGGTCTTTGATTAGATTAAACATTATTATTATTTATTATTATAAATAGTAAATTACAATCTTATGACACAATTTTCCATTATGTTTCATTGTAAAGAAGACTACATTGATAGTCGTAAAAGCATAAGTTCCTTTGTTTTCTACTTTATCTAGAAATATAAAGTTTTAAATTTATAATTTACATATAGTGTTTCCGATTGTAAGTTCATACGTGCTGGTGATATAAGTATATATAATTTACGGTTAAAACGGATATATAGCACATAACTTAACTGACCTTGAATTTTTGAAGCGTCAACATGCGTATTCAGCTGAAAAAAAGCTGTTACTGATCAGGGATCACCCTCTCCCTACTGTTGATGACATTTGGTCGGATGAGGGTGTTATAGAAAGGTGACAATTCCAGTCGTTGGTCCCGATTAAGATTGGGAGATGGCTTCTGTATATGTAGTGCTTCTTTTACTTGATGGAGCAATTCCCTATCTTCCTGATTAAGAACTAAATATTGTTATGTTTTTTGGGGTTTTTTTGTTAATATTTTCATTATTATTTTTTTTAACAATTATAATTAAAAATATAATGCCACATGAACTTACAGTAATATTGAATTGCTAATTTGCATATTTCAATAAATTATTAGCAATATCAGGAAAAAAACAATTTTCCTGACCAAGTAAGAGACATTTAATAAATACTATTCTTATAGTTTTACATACGCTGGGTACTCACTGCAGCCGATGCGATTCTTTGGAGAATGCAGTGCCAAGACACATGCGCACAGGATCGTTTTTAATGATGGTCCATTCAGACTGCCACCGGCAATCAGCAGGCAGCATCGCATCGTCTAGTTTTCACGGAACAGCGTTGGATTCATCGTACGGCAGCCAAACTTGGCAGTATATGTTTAAGCATTTTAAAATGCTAATACAGTATTTGGCATTTTATGCCATGTTGATGGGTGCCTCAGATGTATTGGCCAAGTAGAAGAAATAATTGTTGAATAGTTTATTTCCACTTGTTATTTACTTCACATTTATTAATACTGTACGTTAACATCCACCGATAAAAAGTGAATTCAGTATTCTAGCGTATTTATTTGTTGGTTCCCCCATTTCGACTTGAAGCGAACTTATGAGATGAGTGGCAGAGTTTCCCTAGCCTCCTTTCTGACTGGTTGGTTTGTGATTGTATTTGTTGGAGGTGGAAAAACATTTTACTATATTTGAATTATGTGAGGATAAAATTAGGCAAACAGGCAAATAAATTTAGTGGTGCATGTACATTTTTCTAATTTCGTCAAGTAAAATGTCTATTTCTATATACTCGTACATTAAGTATAGTGTTGCAAAGTTTTATTGTAAATTATATTGCTGAAAGATAAATTCATTGAGCATAGGACAAGGATTTTACCAGGAAGTATGTATCATGTTATATACGAATATAAATTGTGTTGTTAAGGAATTTAATTACCTATTTCTGTTTCTTTACTGTTTTATACCTGCGGTTTGGAGTGTCCACATATTAATTGCCATACAGTTTCTACTATTAAGCAGTTGACTGACCAATCGAAAATGCATGTACAAATCAGATGTCCAGTCTGATGCATGGAGGAATTGACATGTATAAGTTAGGCAGTTTTGAAACAAATTGACCACTTTTCTTGCTGTTTGTATTTAAGTATTCCTAGTTATGCTGCTTTATGCACATACCATCCTACCAGGTACCCGTTTATACTCCTGGGTGGAGAGAGGCAATCGAAAGTACAAGGGACAGCAATGCGATGAGCATTGTCTCGCTATCAGAATTCCAACATCTTGCACGCTTTGCCACATGCAACTGCAAGCAGTTTGTATACAGCCATACAACAGCTTTTTTGCCAAAGAATGTGTGATAATCTGGACAGCTTAAAGCCATGGGAGGGGAAGTCTTCAGGTTTTAACACAGATGAAACAAGATTTAATAACAAAAGAAGACGACGACACATACAAGTTGATGTTCATTTTTGTTTTACAAGTACCCTTTGTAAAGAAAGACTATTCTTTCTCAAGGTTTCCAAATAAACCAAGACACTACAAAGATCACGTGTTTAAAATCAGATTTACACAATTATATATTTTCTATCGGGTTTATTAACACTAAGGCCAACTCGGACACCATCGTACAATGCAACCCGACGCGATTTATTATAGTGTATAACGACCGTCCTTGGCGCAGACCTATTACATCCGCGTTTAACTCGCACAGACCCGAAGTGACAACAAATCGTGTTGGCCTGCGTTATACTACACTAAGTTGGCCTTTTACAGCACTATCATATGGAACAAATCCTCTTCATTCAGATGTGATATTGACAGAGAAGAGGCCCCTTAGTAAAGTTTTTTGCAATCAAAACTCTATATTGCTTCACCTGATTTGTAATTGCATGGACGAGAACCACATGTTTCATGGTACAGTAATGGTAATCTAGACTGTGCACTAGAAACACAACCAATAAAACTATACTAACTCAGTATTATACTTAAACAAATAATTATACTCATAAAATGATAACTCTACAGTATTTTAAAGCAGTGGAAGTGACTGGGTGGGGGGCTGTCTCTTATAC